GTCTGTGTTTTTGGCAGCAGGGGCTGGGACAGCTGGCTCTGTTGGCTGCAGGTGTGAGGGCTCCTTTGTTCAGATTGTGCCTGTGGTTTGTACATGACATGCAAATGAGGGTAAAAAATGCAATGGTGAGTGTGGGGCTGTGCTCAATAGGAGGATTTCTTCCCAGTGGGTTGAGCACCCTGGAGCCTGGCACCAGCGCTGGGACGGGGGAACATGGGAGTCAGCGCGGCAGAGACAGGGGACTCCTTGTCTGCGCAGAGGGTGCAGAGCAGTGTGCGAGCTGCTGCCAGCCTCTTCTGGCTCAGGAGTCTGTAGGTGCCCAGGCCTGGTGCCCGTCCCTGCACCCAGAGGGAAATTTACCCAGGGGATCAGCCCTGGGATGTGGGGCGGGCACGGTAGTGCCCACAGCCGTTGTGAAACGCATGTGTGTGGACAGATCTGTGGTGTCTAGTCCCTAGTGATGATGGGCAGTAGGATGGTGCCTGCTTCCTCCTCACAAGGAAGCGCTAAAGCTTACGTAGGACCCTGAGTCCCTCGATGGGTCTTGAGAAGGTGACAGGAATCATGCACATGACCATGAATCACGCCTCAGGATTTTTCATACTGGCCCAGTATGGAGTTGTGACACAGTCCCCATGCTGGGAGGATATTTGCAGTTGCTGCCAATGTGTCCATGGCAAGGAGAGACAGGCTATGGGGTTTCAGATACCTTTTAGTTAGGCCAGGCAAGAGCAGCCACAGGCCAAAGCAGAGCACTAGCTCTTGCTCTGAATCTGCTGATCAAGATGAGCAGTGGGACCAGGGCAGGAGGAGAAGAGGGCAGGGTATGGCAGGGCAGGGCAGTCCTGGTGCTGCAGGAGGGGAGGCCAGAGCCAGGAGGGAAGTCCAGCTCCTGGGGGCAGCGTCAGGAGCCAGGTTGGGGTAGGGAAGAACAGGCCAAAGAGTAGCAGTCTCGGGAGGGTTAAGGAGGGCCCTAATCACCTGCTGCCATTGCAATCAGCTACATCAGCCTCAGCTGCTCCAGCAGGCTGCAGGGAGGCTGTTGGCTGCTCTTGGTGGACTATTGTCCTGCTGTTGGGAAGGGAAGCTGAGGTGAGAGCTCTCTCTACTCCCTGCCTCAGGACCCAGGTTGAGGTCTCAGATGTGAAGCCCTGGAGTGAAATGTCCTGCAGGAGTCAGATACCCCTGGGCCTGAGGCTGGGGCCTCACTTTGCAGGTGCTCCCCTCCCCTCCCCACTGTCCAGCCCTTGTGGGTTTTGTTCTGCCCCTGGGGCAATGAGAGCTGGGGAGGGAGCTGAGTCCTGTCTGGCTCTGGTTTTGTGAGGCTTTCTGCAGGCTCTTGAGAACTGGCACTGGGGGGACTCTCAGCCCTTTCCCAGGACAGTGGGAGTGATGGGGCCTGAGCTAAGAGTTTGCTCCATGTAAGCAGGAAGACATGGGTGTGGGGGTGCATGAGCTCAAGGTGACTCTCCCTGGAGTAGGAGCTGGGCAGCACTGGAGGGGCAGGCAGGATGTTGGGGGTCAGGGCCTGGGAAGGGCTGGGTCAGGTTTTGGGTCGGTTCTCATGGAGAAATGAGTGCCAAAGGGCCCTGAGTCTGTGTAAAAGAAGCTTCCCCTTTTTGTGCCAGCCAAGCTCTGTTTGGCATCATGGTACAACTCCCCTGTCTGGCTGTTGGGACTGCAAGGAAAACTGGTTTTGGAGGAGTCTCCAGAGAGGGTCACTCTGTTTTGGAGAGATGCAGCATAGTCTATGGTCACTATAAGGGAGTGAAGTAATAAGTTTTCTTGGAGTCACTGGTGATTGTGCAGGTCAAGGTAAGGGTCTCTCCAGGCTGCACCATCCCTAGTCTGGGCTCTGTTGAGAGCTGCTGACCCTTGTTCTCGATGCCGTGTGGGAAGCAGGTGACAAGTACCAGGAATGGGAAAGGGGATGTTTTAACTCTGTTCTAGCTGGTCAGTGCAGCGCGTGGGGTCTGGATGCCAGCTGGGCCCTGTCACGGTGTCTGTGCTGGGCACAGCAGATGTCAAGGATGTGGTGGGTGTCCTGTGCGGTCCTCAGTGCAGCTGCAGCAGGGGGTCTAAGGGCCTGGCTGTAGCTGGCAGTTGCTTTAGTGTTTGTGGGCTGGTGGATTTTCTGTGACTGTCAGGTCACAGGTTACTGTTACTTGGGGGGTGGGAGCTGGCTGGCTGGTGGGGGCACTGGAGCAGCTCCATGCGTACCACTCAAGCCCATGTATGTTCACCTGTCCAGCAGGACCATGGTTCCTGGTCAAAGGCGAGAACAAGGGGACCACGGGCTGAGACTCCTAGCTGTGTGTGGCCATGATACAGCTGCCTGATGCACCTCCAGAACACGCTGACAAGAGCTGTGTCCTGGTGAGAGCACTGGGAGGGACTAGGAGGATACTGGGAGATACTGGAGGCACAGGCTGGGACAAGTCGGGGGCTGAGAGTTACTGAGGCTTCCTTCAAGGTACTGGGAGGATACTGGGGAGCTGTGGCTGTTGGCCAGTAAACGGTTTGTGGGTGATTCCCCTGCTTCTGCTTAGCAGCTGGTTCCTGGACTGTCGCCTGCTCCTCACTGGGGATAGAGTGAGGGCTGGGATGGGGTCAGCAGCCTGCGCATCTGGTGCAGCCGCCCCCTCCCAGCCCTGCTGGTCTTCTCTCAATCCCAGTCCTCCTGCTGGGGTACCGCATGCCTGGTGCGCATTCCCTCCCTCCTCTGCTTGCCCCAGCATAGTGGCCTGGCAGCTGTGGAGTCCATGGGATGACACTCGTGGAGACCCCAGGAATGACCAGTGCTGCCTGGATGGGATCTAGGAGGGCCATGACAGTGCTCTGGCGCTTGGCACAAGGCGCCCCAGTGCACCCCTCCTGCTCCACACTCAATTGAGTACCTCTTCATCCTCTGGGAGAATTAGAAGACACTGGGGGGCTATTGAGAGGTTACTGGGTGGTTACTGGAGGAGCTGTTTACTGGGTCTGCCTGGGAGGGTACTGGGAGGACCTGGGAGATGCTGGGAATTTCCTGGGGAGATAATGAGAGGATACTGGGCTCTTTACTGGGGACACTGAAGGCTGTGAGTGCGGTTGGGAGGGGATTGGGAAGTAACTTTTGGGTACTGGGAGATGCTAGAGTACTGGGAGGTCCCTGCCCACCTGCCATATGCCAGCTTGGGAGGCAGATCATCACTGACTGCAGATTCGAGATCTTGGACAAGACAGAAGGACCGGAGAGTAGTGGGCAGGTGCTGGACCCTGGTGGGGTCTTCGGTGGTGGCTGCGGGTCAGGACTTGGGGGCAATTGGGTGGGGTGAGGGGCTGCAGGATGGGTGTAAGGGGTATTGGGGTGTAGGAGATAGAGCTTTGTTGGGAGTGAGGGGTACTGGCCTTGCTGTCCCCTGCACCCACAGACAGTGCCAGGCCCAGATGCCCGTCATGCAATTCTCCTGGACCTGTCACTTCAACTTGTGCAACTCCTGGGGGCCAGAAGAGCCCCTCCGCAACTCCCTAGCTCTCACTCTCCAGCCCCTACCCCCCTCCTAGGGACCCCCTCCCCCCTTTCTGCCCCCCTGCAAGTTTTCACCTGCCCTGCTAACAACAACTACAACGCGCATGGTTCCCACTGCCCCACCTCTTGCTCTGCGGCCTCCCTGGGGGGCTGTGCTGAGGGCTGCGTCTGCCTGGCTAACCTCATATCCAGTGGAACCGACTGCATCCTCGCCTCAGCTTACAGCTGCCTTGGCCCAGCAGCACCTACCTCCCGGTGAGCTGGCAGGGGCATAGTGGGGTAGAAAGGGGCCTGGATGCACCCAAATGTGGGGTGGGGCACAGCTGCATGTAGCACAGCGCCATTGCAGCCAGCTATGGAGTGGGGCAACACCAAGTGTAGCAGGGAGCTGAGATGCAACTGCCTCTGGCCTGGGGAGAGTGGCTGAGTATACCACGTAGTCCTGGACCCAGAGTGGGATCTGCATGAGTGTTGCTGCATGTTCCTTCCTGGTTTCCCATTCATCCCCCACCGACAGGTAGGAGACGCCCGATTTGAGGAGTGCTTTGAGCGCTGCACGTGCTGTGGCGCTGGGGACCTGATATGCGAGCGCAGCCACAGCCTGCCTTCAAGAACTGTTGGTTCCAGGACAGGAAGAAGGACTGCCAGCCCCTTGGTGACTGCATCTGGCTCTGGGGTGGGGAGAGCAGGGCCAGGGATGCAGCCAGCTCCCCACATCTGCTAAACCATGGCAGAAACTGCATATAGTAGCATCTCCAGCTACCCTGCAGCTAGCATTTTATGTGTACATTTTATGCCTAAAATGTATGACTTTACTTTTACCCTGTCCACGGAAACTTTTCTGTTCAGCCTGTTTCACGCAAACTAATTTTGTACCTTTGGGACAAAGCTTGTAACGACATGTGCAAGGAACAGATTCTATCTTCAGAAATGCAAATGCTGCAGAGACGAGTGCCTGGGCTGAACGTGTGCCCTTACATCACTGAGATGAACTGTACCCAGCACAGAAGAGTGAGCTGGCCTTAGACTTTTTGATGGCTTCTGTTGGACACTTGTACTTGTATAAGGATTTAGTCCACATATTTGTTATATAACACACAGTGCGTGCCACTTTTTTTGTTTATTTGTTTGTTTTTACAATAAGAAAACATTTGTCTATCTACTTTATATTTTAGTGGGTACAATGTAGAGGTGGATTTCTCTCTCACAAATGAAAGGTCAGAAAGAAGTGAAGGAGGAGGAGGAGGAGGGGAAAGAAAGTTTGGACAGAGTTGAGTGAACTTTACTCTTCCTTTGCTTGCAGCCAGTTGCTGAGGCTTTCACATCTGCATTGTCTGGTGTTTCAGAGCCTGCTTTCAGATGAAAGAAGCCAGAAAGCTCTCGACCAAAGGCTGGAGGTACAATGCGTGTTGTTCGTGCTCCATGTGTCAACTTGGAGCAGAAAGTAAAAGCTACTCTTCACCAGCAAAAGCTAGCAGCAGAGGCACGATGCCCATGGGTCCCTACTCTGTTCTAATCACCCCTAACATCAAGGTTACACACAATCAATTCAAACCTCTTCAGTAAAGCTCAGAATCTGCACTGCCCTCAGTTATCCATCACCACCGATTCCAAGCAGTCCCGTCTACCCGACCACCAAGGCTGCACCAACCTACACAGCCCTTGCTGTCACATCAGCTAGTCCCACCAAATATACACCACCCTACCTCCTAGAAACAGCCATCCCAGCTGACTACTCAGCCCCCTGCCCTGTATC